CGATGGCTCCCGTGACGTCAGGGCGGTGGGCGGCGCCGTGCGCGTGCGCGCTGTGAGGGCGGGCGGCCCCGCGGAAGGAGCGCGGAGAGCGGCGGGGCCGGGCCGGGCGGGCACAGCGGGCACCGCGGGGATGAAGGACCGGCTGGCGGACCTGGCGGAGGTGCGGCACGGGCACGGCACGGGAGGGCACGGGGGGCACGGCACGGGGGCTGCGGGGCCGCAGGGATGGCGCGGGGTAGCGGGCAGCGCGATGGGGGAGCCGCGGCACCGGCGGTCCCGGGGGCTGGGAGGGCCCCGCTCCCCCCGGGATCGCTCCCGGCTCCCCCGGATCGCTCCCGGGCTCTGGCAGCGCAGTTCCACCTTCCCGAGTGCTGCAGCGCGCTCTGCTCCGCCCTGCCCGGGCCCCGGGACGGGCTCTGAGCGCTGAGCCCCCGATCATTGCCGGTGTGCGGTGGGTTTGTCCGGCCCGAGCTGCAGGGCCGTGATGCGGCAGGAAAGCGCTCTGCAGCCTTTACTCTCCCTGTGTTTACAAAATGGGAGCTGCTTCTGTTTATACGCTCTTTTCCTTTCCCTTATTTGTGCTTTGGGAGCAGGATCCTAAAAAAGAAGGGAGAGTTGGGGGGAGGCACCATCAGTCTGTCTGTAACAGGATATGGTTTGGGTAAAATAAAACGATGTTTGAGGTTTTTTGTTTGGTTTTTTCTGTTGTTGTTTTGGTTTGGTTGTTTTTTTGGTTTGGTTTTTTTTTTTTTTTTTCTGAAACGAAATGGAAATGGAGAGCACACAGGAGTTCCTGTGATAGTTTCAGTGCTCCACGTATGTGTTGAAGTTGGGCTGTGCTGAGCTGCATTCGGGTCTGGGGCTCTTTCATCTTCTGGATCACAAAATGCATTTTGGAAGCTCCATCTCTRGTGATGGAATTACCACTCTCTTTGTCTTCCTCTCTGAAAGGATGAATTGGTGCCTGAAAAGTTTAGGGATGATTACAGTTTCTCTATCAGAATGATGCTTTGGAGTCACGCCAAAAACCAGTGTCATTTCTTTCAGGTGTGCTTACTCCCTTCTCCTGTTTCTAAACATGACCAGGTTGTGAGAACGYGTGCCAGATTTCGGTGCTGGTGCACGCTTCCCACATAAAGGAAGCAACAATAGTGATCCAGATTTGCTTTGTAATTGTTAATCCTATACCTGTGGACTTAATCCTGTTCTGTATTTTTCTRAACGAAAGAAACCAATTCCACACCCTGACACACCCCCCATTGATATGGCTAAAAGTGTTTAATGCAGCTGGACAGAGGAATTTTTAAGCCAGCTTTCGTATTTGATATTTGAAAACATTACTGCGGTACAGATACAAACACAAAATGAGCCTTTCCAGRAGGAGGACTGTTGTTTTTGCCTGCGTTRGCCTCTGACGTGAGACTTCATTCAMACAYGGGATTTTGTGAGGATCAGCTGTGCGCCTTCCATGCCGTGACAGTGTGAGGTCATTTATTGCAGTGGTTCCCATCTGATGTTCCTGTGGTTGTACAGCCCTGCTGCTCAAAGCCTGTTAATGATTGAGCTGCCAGAGCTGCCTCAGCTTTCTTTGGAGCCCTCCTTGGCTGCTCCTCGRGTGCAGAGGGATTTCTGGACACGCTGATGCTGTCAGGGGAAACTGTGACACTCTGTAATGGGCTCCTGATTCCTTGGAGTGATGGTCAGTTGTTATCCCTGCAGCCTGCCACAGGAATACGCTTGATCTGCACTGAGAAAGAGCTAACCTTGAGTGGAATTTCAAGGGCAAGTAATAGTCACGTTTTTCAGTCAAAGCTGTTTTCAGTTTCAAAGGTCAGTAATCAGATATCAGTAAGATATCTCCAGCCTGACTTATTTCTGCAATTCTGTAAGGCAGTGGAAGGGACARATTTTAATAAACCATCAGGATAGCCTCTGCTTGGAACTGAGAAATAATATTGTGTGAAAATGTGTGTAGTTTAACGTGGCTGCAATGGGAGCAGCTGTGTGCTCAYCCTGGTGGGATGGGGCAGAATTGRACAAGTGAGAAAAMTCAYGGATTGAGAGTAAAGGCAGTTTATTTGGKAAAGCRCGAGCTGAACACAAGCAAAACAAAYAAAATAATATTTCTTTCCTACTTCCAATGGGMAGGCCGGGGTTAAGCCATTCCCAGAAAAGCAGAGCTCTGTCACATAACAGTGACTTGGGAAGACAAAATGCGTAAAACACTAAAGGGCTTCCCTTCTCTCTTCTTGCTTTGGCTTTCTGCAGTGAGCAAATGCCATTGATTTGGGACATCCCTGGGGTCACCTGGGGCCATCTGTGTCCCCAGATCCCCACACTGCTGGGKGAGGAGCAGGAAAGGCTCTGCCTCTGTAGGTGCTGCTCAGCAGGAACTGGAGCATCCCTGTGTCATCAGCACAAATCCCAAAMGCAGCCCATGGCAGCTACTGYGAAAARMSTTAACTCTGTCCCTGCCAAAGCAGCACAAACTCCTGAGGCAGCTGCATGGRTTTTATAGGTCTGTGAATGTTGGTGGAGCTCTATGTCCCAGACTTGGAGTCCCAAGGTCAAGGTATGAGCTGCAAACAGACTTTATTAGATTGCTCTTGGCATTGACGTGAAACTTTTTATCAGTTTTTTGTGATACTGCTTGTACAGGGGAGGTGAAGGCCAGGGAGAGCAATGTGKTTCTGCTAAACATAGTGATAAAAGTGAGTTCTTGGTGTGTTGTGTGCTTGTCAGAAGAAAGCACAAAAGCACATCCCTTCAGTTGAAGAGAGTTAGCAAATGAGCTGTGTTTTAGGTAAGAGATGATTTAAGAGCGTAGAGAACAGAGGTTGACAGACTTATCAGGTGTGTCAAGTGCTGATGACTGAAGCAGGCTGTCCATAAATCCTTCAACAAATTGTAGAAAGCAAATTGATCTGTCAGTGGTGTCATTGCAAGCARATATGAAAGTGAAATCCACGTGGCACAGTCTGGGCTGGGGAGTCATGATCATCTGCCTCCCAGCTGAGCATCTCCAAACAGGAATTTCTGAGTCAGATTGCTGTGTCTTTCATTCATTTAGGATTCACTCCAGTGTTACATGTTTTACCTAGATCTGATCAAATTAAAGCTGGCATTCTGAATCTCTTAGATGCTATTTTTCATTATTTTAGTTGAAATAACTAAATATAGGATGCAGTTATGAACAAGCAGAAAAATTATTCTTYACTCATTAAATATGAGCAGAAAGTGTTCTTTTGCATAGATAATGAAATCAAATGTCTTTAAAGTGTAGCTCCTTCTTAAATATTAACTTCCAGCTTGTAGTTTAGTAGCAGTGCAGGCTTGGGAATGGTAGAGGGTTGGGTGACTTCATTTGGGCACAGACTTCCTCCCATTTTGTGTTAAGCAAGGCTGTTAATTGATGGCAATCTCTAAGGACAGATAATTTGAGTTCTGGTGTTATCTCCCCAAAATCAGTAACTGCAAAAAGTCTTTGATGAGCCCCAGCTCTGTGAATGGTTGGAGKTTGGTCCAGGAGAGCAGGATTATCTCCCTTCCTGTATTTCACTTGGGCATTACTGCTTCCCCTGAGCAGAAAAGCGAAATAATTCCCGACAAACRCATTGCCCCAGGGCTTCATGCATTTCCTGAGTTTGCAGGAAAGGAGCTGCCACCAAGTACAGTAACTTCTCCCTGAGGATTTGTGGCACTGGTGGATTTCCATGCATAGATCTTAATTGACTGTAGCTTTCTTTATAAGATAATACCAGTATTTGACACTGCATTAAATTGCAGAWTTGTCATGCAAACAATTCGTATCTCACATAATTAAATAAAACCAGAACCAGACTTCTTGGGTAATAGGGTCAGAGGTTAGGAGCAGAAAGGGGTGTTAGAGGATCAGAGCAGAGAGCCTTGTAAGAAGTAAAGGTGTCTTGGAGTGACAATCCCTTAATGATACCTATCCTGTAATTTGTTTTTCTCTAACAGATAACCCATTGACTGTATGTGAAGAGGGTTATTTTGTTCTAATTTAGATTCTATGCAGTTCAAACTGTGTGTGCTGCACAGAGGGAGTTAAAGAATGCAGAAGCTTGACCTCTTTGCCTTGATATGATGCATATTAATTCTCTTTTCCCTGATCAAACTGAGGGGCTGGGCTGGCTGCAGGGTCAGGTGTGACTGGACAATGCTGTGCCCTGGGCTGTGGGACAGGCTGGCTGCTATTCTGAGCCTTTATCTATTATTTCATGTATTTAGAGTTTGGTATGGACTCATTGTGGCTGAACTGGTGTGGAATGGCAATTTTGGCAGTCCCTAAGGACCAGAGCAGTGAGTTGYTGATGGTTTTTGTTGGATTTTTAGCTGTTCCATCACTAGCACTCAGCAGCTCTGTGTTTCTCTCCCAGTCTGGAGTAGGCAGTTCATTTTCTGTGGCCTCTCTGCTTGTTTGTTTTTAGATTACACTCCTCAGACAGGAAAACTGCTTTGGCTTTGCAGACTCCTGACAACAATGCGTGTGCAGTAGCAATGTGGCAGAGCAGTGTCCTGGGGTTTATTTCATGGGTTTGGTTTTGTTGTGTTTTACAGTATAAAGGAAATGAAGATGGGGAGACAGTTATCATTGAAAAAGACCATTTTATGGATGACTTTTTCCAACAGGTAAAGCTACAGTTTGCACCATGGATTAAAGATTTACTGTTTTCTCTCTGTGCCTTTTAATTTCTATAATTAAGTTAAAACAATTCATCTACACATCCTCCCCAATATGGTTTGTAATGTTATGCAAAATCAAATGTTGGTAACACTTCTTTTTAAAATTTCGGGGTATTTTTTTTATTTATTGTAGAGAAATGTTTATAACACCCTATCAACAAGAAATTATCTAATAGTATTTTAAAATASCTTTTTATTAAGAATATTAGCACTTAAGTTTTTGGCCAAAARTATTTGTTTTTAAAAAATATTTGACCTAAATTATTCTGTTGTCTTCCTTGCCATATTTCTCTTCCTCTAGGTTGAAGAAATTAGAAATAAYATAGCAAAAATAGCACAAAATGTGGAAGAAGTGAAGAAGCAGCACAGCATTATCCTATCAGCACCAAATCCTGAAGGAAGTGAGTAATCATTTYTAAGATTTTATGATTAAGATAGGTGTGGTTAGATATTCTCAAATATTGTTTGTCTATAGGAGCAGAACTTCAGGTGTTTGGAATGCAAAATGTAATACTAAGGAAATACTTTCATTTTTAACATTGAATTAATAATTTTGATCTTTTTAAAGTCTCATTTGAAAAATATATTTTCTGAGTATTTCTTGCATCATCCGAACCTTCTTTAGACTAAAACTCAGTTTAAWGTGGTATCTTAAAATTGAATTTTTTCTTCAGAAACTTGGAGGCTACTTAAGTTTATTCTAATTTGTGAAAATGTTGACATTGTCAACTGAAGCTTTTACTGCCRAGTGTTCTCTTTGTTCYTCAGTAGGGTCAAGGTCCTGTCTGMSCAGAGCCAGCTCTGCAGCCGTGCTTCCAGTTCCATGTGGAGCCCTATTTTYAGAGGCTTTAGGCCCAAAGCTGGAAGTGAAGTTGTGTTTCTTGAGCAGAGAACTCAAAAGTTCAGGGAACTTGCCCGGAAACGTGGAACCTTCCCTGTCCTCAACCCTTGGTAGCTCAAGGCATGTCTGTGCTTGTGGGCAGAGCTCAAAGAAAAGGGAAGAAAAGATGCTGAGGGATTTTTTTATTTTTGTCTTTTGAATGTTGCAATTCTGGCTTAACCTTTATCTTCTTGTTTCATCTTGTTGATGAAAACTGAACTTTGGGTGTTRGTTTATATTGTCCCCCTACAGCTGATTTTGCAGGCTCCTTTTTCAGTGAATCTCGGGTTTAATCAGGCTTCACCTGAACGTTGAAAGTCTGTGCTCTCAGCTCATTTATCAGCTGTGTTTGTGCTGAATATTGTGCTCAAGAATGCATCTGAATTGCTCAGGAATGTACTGTGACAGCACTCATAGGCAAGGTGTGTTCTTGTGARTCTGGTGTCTTCAGAAAGCCCTGCTGTKCCAGGGAGTGGGCAGAGTTCTGCAGGAGAGCTCTGTGCAGAGTTCCTCACAATGTGATGGGCASTGCATGGCTCAGATATGGCAATGAGTGTAAAAGCAATAATACAGGGTAAACAACACCACTGGGAAAAGTGAGAGAAATCTGCATTTTCACTCTATTTAGAACTCACTGCCATTTGACTTTTGACTAGCAAATCAACAGTACCCTGAAAATGTTAAGAAAAACTGTTCATCACCTGGTTCAGTTGATGATTTGGTGTTAGCCAGAGCCTGATAGTGTGCTGTTATTAAAATGGTATTTAAAGTACTTAGGAGTATAACAAACTTCAACTCTGCTTCATTGCATTGAATAAAGTTCTGAGATTGCAGGGCAGATTTGTCGACTCTTGCTGWCCTACTATTATCAATCATTAACACTTCAAAAAAATCATTTTTTAAAGGAACAAAGGAAGAACTTGAAGAACTAAATGAGGAAATAAAGAAGATTGCTAATAAAATCCGGGCCAGGCTAAAGGGTAGGTTGTAAGGACAAATAAAAACTCCTTGCTTTCAGAAATAACCTAGAAAATTATGCAAAGTAATTCCTCTGTGTAGAAATGTATTCTGAAGCTGAAATGCTTTTTTTGATGGTGATATTTTGAAAGATTAACTTCAACAGCAAAAATACACTTTAAAAAWTTTTTCCAAGTGTAACAGACAGTAGTGTGACTGTTAAGAGTCTGATTGAAGCAGTTACTTTGTTTAAAGATCTCTACCAGTTACCAAAATCATTCAAAAATTTTATTTCTATATCACTGCCACCTCTCTCCCCTGAAATGTTACACAAGTCTATGGGCAACATGTACATTTAAAAAGTAATAATAGCATTTACAAAGCAGTTGAGCTACACTGCTAAATAGCAGATAGTGACTCAGTGTTCTTGTCTTGTTCTTAGCTATTGAACAAAGTTTTGAKCAGGGTGACAATGCCAATCGGACATCAGTGGACCTCAGGATAAGAAAAACACAGGTAGGACCCGTTCAGCTTAAACCACAACCATCAGTGGTTGCAGTAAAGTGCAGCCTGAGAGTGACTCCTGGGCAGTCATCACTTGCTGCTGGGTTCCTGTGGGATGTAGATCCCCCCGAGCTTTTGTGAGGTGCTGTGACACCAGTAACGGTTCTGTCCTGTCCTCTCCTGTCCTGTCCTGTCCTGTTTGAACCCTCCCCATGCAGCACTCAGTGCTGGCCCACAAGTTTGTGGAGGTGATGACCGAGTACAACGAGACCCAGACCCTGTTCCGAGAGCGCAGCAAAGGTCGGATCCAGAGACAGCTGGAGATAAGTAAGTGACCCAAATATCCTTCTAAAATAAATGATGTTTCTTGTTAATTAAATATGGTGCAAAGTATGAGACATGTCTTGGACATCATCTTGTGTGTGAGAGAAAAGAAACAATTTTACTGCATGGCATAAACGCTTTGTTATTACTCTTTTTAGAACAGCTGTAAAGAAAAGAGAGAAAACTCACTAAATAGTTTCCTTTAGATTGAAAAATATTAAAGAAATTATCTTTTTCCTTTGCTTCATTTACTTGCAATGCTGCAGCTTTAAATGAAGCATTCGGAAACAGCAAGTGTTATTAAAAGCCATTCCAAAATTAACATGCCTAACAGGATAACATCTCTTTTTATGTGATGCCATTTTTGTCTACAAGGACACTTGTTAAATTCATCTGGCATAAATCAGTGCTGCTGTTCCATGTGCTTTCATCATTTGCTGACTGACTCGCATATGGCTTACTTCCAGTTGATTATTGTGAGTATTTAGAAAGGTTCCTGACTTTACTTTGAACTACAATACCTACCTAGGAACATGTCTAAAAAGTACCTAAAATTAGTCTTTTCTTTAATGTGCTCTGTAGAAGTGAATGTGTACATTGCTGAAATAGAGAGTGCAAACAGAGGAACTGTCAAATTATAAAAAAAACTTTGCTTTTCATATGCTTTTCAAATTTGTCATTAGCCTCTCATGCTACTGGTTCAATTCAGCACTTCAGTAGAGTTTGTTAGGCAAGATCTGTTGTTCTTTGCTTGTGTCCCCAGTACCTCAGGACGTGGTTCTTTTAAGTTAAAGTTGGCTGGGACTCAAGGAGAGCCTTCAGCTTTTCTTAAGCACTACAAATTTTAAAGCAGGTTTTGCAGCATTCTTGGTAYTAACATCAGAAAGAAATATTCAAACTAGCTTTCACTTGATGGGACAGAATTAGATAAATGGGTGCACATATTCAGCTTATTTTTCATTGGAAGAACAGGGATTTGRTATGTAATTGTTAAAATTGTACAATACAAATCCTTTGAATGTGTTGGATTTGTTTACCTTTGTGATCAATAGGATTCCGTTTGCTCAAACATGCAATGCTAAACTGCACCAAAGCACAAGGGAAGGGACATGGGGGTTATCTTCTTTGTGGAATATGAATGGAATCCKGGGTTGGTAAAATCAAATTTACATAAAGATTTATTGCCCACACAGTGGTGGAGTGTGTGACATGATTGAATGCAATAGGTAAATATTGAATGTTATATAAATAGGATTCTGAAAAACACACCACTTAGCAAGGTTCATATGTAGATTGAACCTTGACTGAAAGTTCTGATCAAACTTTTCAATTTGACAAARAAGAAACCCCAGCCAGCCAAGCAAAAATACTTCATGGCCAGGATTATTCTTGGTAGCTTTGGCTGTRCATATGTTTTCTGACTAATATTTGATATTTTCTGGATTTTGTTAAATGCAAAATGGCCCTTGGTAGTGGCTAAACACTACAGGGTTTTATCCTGCAAAATCTCAATACAAAAATTGTCTTTGAATTGTCATCTTTCTGGATGGTAAAATTTTGTGTTCAGTGCTGAATAAATGATGTTATGTGAAGTCCTGTTGTTTTTATCGTAGCTGGAAAGACCACCACTGATGAGGAACTGGAAGAAATGTTAGAGAGTGGTAATCCTTCCATTTTCACTTCTGATGTATGTATTTCTGGTCCAGTTCTGTCTCTTCTATTCTGCTGCTCCTGCTCTGTACAAGTGTGTTGGCACTGACTTATGTCCATGTCTTTCCATTCTCCCAAAGATTATATCAGACTCTCAGATAACCAGGCAAGCCCTGAACGAGATCGAGTCCCGTCACAAGGATATTATGAAACTGGAAACCAGCATTCGGGAGCTCCATGAGATGTTCATGGACATGGCAATGTTTGTTGAGACTCAGGTGAACGAACCCATTCAAACACTTTTATGGGATGGTGGGGTTTTGCCTCGCTCTTCCTCTTTGCAATGTGCAGAAGCAGTTGATTATGTTCAGATAGTTCAGACTTGGAGTGTTCTTGGACTGTGAACACAATATATGGAAGTTAATCACTGCAGGTTTGTGTTTGGTTGTGAGCAAATTGACCATTTCTCTGTCTTTTCATGTACATAAATTTGTTCTGGTTTTAGTCTTTAAATACCAATTGCCCAACAAAAGTATTTCCAACTTTGGTCTTAAAATGGTTTGACTTATGCAGAAAAGTGACAAGTAGTGTTAGAAGAGAAACTTGCCTGAAAAGGCCTAGTTTTTGTTACTGGATGTTGTTCTAGAAGTCCTTTGTTGCTTTGATGTTAAATATACAGCCAAAGAACATTGGTAGCAGGTTTCTTTTGAATTACATATGAGCAAAAGTTACTTGTGCATCATTCTTTAATGCTTTGCTGTTTACTGCTGCTGATTATCGCTTCTGATGGACAGACACACAGGTAACAGACTTACTGCCATTTTTCACCAATCCTCATTTCATTGCCAAATTTCATTCATCATAATTAATTTGAATTTGTCATGCATTGACATTCTAATCCCCAGCTGTGAGGATCTCACATGTGTGTATTTCTGAGATAGCTGTTGAACCTTGTGCTGAAATAGGCAATATCCTTATCCTTTCCCACTTGTGCTGGCAGGGATTTCTGATCCCTGGCGTGTGTCCCTTTAGCTTTGGCTGCTCAAACATACCTGCCCCACAAAGGTGTTCCCTGCACAAGGGAGAAATTGGCCTGCCCTGCTCATGAGCATTTCTTGTTTGGTGAGAACTGCCAGCCCTTGCTTCTCACTCCCTTTTTCTGCCAAAGCAGAAAAAATGTCATCCATAGAATGTGCATCGTTCACTCGGTGAAAGTCATTGTTGGTGTTCTGAAGCCTTTCTTTTAGGCACATGAAACCAAGATCCATGCATTCCAATAATAGGTTTTTTCTTCAAAWTTTCATTTTAAGGGTGAAATGATCAACAACATAGAAAAGAACGTGATGAACGCGACAGATTATGTGGAACATGCGAAAGAAGAGACAAAAAAGGCCGTTAAATACCAAAGTAAAGCACGGAGGGTATGTTGTCTTTCTGTAATTGTGCTAGCCARTATTTTAACTTAGCACAGGAGCATTTCCAATGAGAATTGTTTTGTTAAGTAATATCGAAAATTTGTAATACCAATAGAGGACAGTGGTTTGTTTTTACATTCCAGTTTCCCTTTTTGATATGCTGTGCAATTTAGTGGGGCTCTTTTTGTGAGCTGGATTTGAGGGAATAATTCATCTTTCTGTARACAGAGATTGCACAGAGATAACACACCTGGTTCATTTACAAAAAATCTGTTCAGAAACGTTAAAAGAACCTACTTAATATGTTTGTAAATGGTGCTTGTATCATCTTTGATAACTGTCTAGGCATTAATCACAGGAGTTTACCTGTTACATTTGCAAAGTTATGCAGAGAAATTTATCTCCATTGGAGAGAGAATACAGCAGACTTTAATAAAAGTGCTTGTGGATCTAAAATCTGACTRTTTGAAAATTGTAAATGCAAGTGTTAATGTGCTTAATATTAATAATACCTTGTTTTTTGACAGAAAATGTGGATAATTATCATTGTGTCAGTGGTGTTGATTGCCATAGTAGCTCTAATTATTGGTTTGTCWGTTGGTATTCGGTGATGCTTGGATAACCCCAGCATGCATGGCTTCCTGCCGCTGTGGCAGTAAGTAACTAATCAACTAATCTGGCTCTTGTTCCTGGTCCTGTCCTGCTAATCCTGACTGTGGGCCCAGCTCTGGGGAGGGCTCAGGTTCCTGCTGGGGCTCTGGGTCTGGGGCAGTGCCCGCCTGTGGCAGCTGCAAACTGTCACCCAAAGGGCACTGTGCCACGCTCAGCAGCACTGAACTGACAGCAAAACCCAACAGTTGGCTCCCAGCTCTTGCAATTGCTTCTTGTCATGCTGAAAGTTCACTTCAGCCTACAATATGGAATACTCAGTACACTTGCAACTTTATCAAATGGGGTTTCTGTGGTTTTAGGTAGAGTTTTAAAAAAATATGTCTGCAAGTACAAAGTTGGCTATTATGCCTTGGAGAACATCTTTAAATTTCTTACTTTTAAACTGTTTATTACTACTAGACTGAATGAAACAGCAGGAAATAAGGACGTGTTTAGGACATGAGTTGAGATTTTTTTCAGTGTTGATGTTTTTGCTGTACTATTCCTTGTCCAGATAATGCTTAGCCAGGCTGAGTAGGAAATAGCAGTGAACTTTCCTGAGKCCAGGAGAAATGCAGCTTTTAACATTCCGTGTCTTTAAGCTCTGTACAAAGCACTCAGAGCAGCTGTCAGTTCAGACAGTTCATCAGAAATTCCGATTTCTGTACTAACACTCTTTTAACATCTCAGGTTTGGTTTGGTGGTAGAGATTCTCCTCAGCTCTGGTTTATGGGCAGGGAACAGAATTTACTGTGTGTTACTTGCAGTCAGAAATACCTGACCCGGTGTCACACCTTGATGCATTTACACAGAACCATCTCCTTTTTTTAACCCTTGCAGCTCCTCTGAGCTRTTGCCTTCACAATGTTTTTACTGAGCTTCTGTTGAGTTCCACGAGGGTGCAGCTGTAAAGGTTTGAGCAGGCTGCAAATATTTATCCAAGGAGGGTGGCAGTAAGCGGTTACTTAGACTTGACCTACATCTGTTTCTGATGATATTTACAGAAGTTGGGGATGAGTAATAGCTACTATTGTGTAAAGGAAAATGGAGAAATGTTGCACAGAGGGTTCTGCCCTGTGACCATGGTTACATGTATGTTAGAAAGGAAACAACAGGAAATCATGGCAGTGTTTGCTCCTTAGAAAATCCAGACAGGCTGGGTGTCAGTGCTGCTGTGGCTCTGCATATACTGAAACAGTTCTGTCTCTGACAAAATATCTCAATCTTAACTTTTCTCTCTTTTCCCTGCAGAAATTGATGTTCATAATAATATGTGTAACTGTATTGCTTCTGATACTTGGAATTATCCTAGCAACAACTCTGTCCTAGCAAGCACATTCCAAGAGTTGCGACCCTTCAGAAACTCCAAAACTCCGTCAGTAAAACCAGACCTTGTCCTTAAGAGATGCCTGACACTGTCCCAGGATGATGGCCTGGCACTAATGGTTAYAAATGAAAGCAAAATCACTCTTCATGTTTACTCCTAACTGAAGATCAGAATGTATTAGGATGTGTGTGGATTTTTCACCATAAACTAGACACTTGTAAGACTGAAASTTGCTCCTGTTCTGAGCGAGAGTAACTTAGGGTTTTTCACATCTCAGTGTTACAATTTAAATAGGGAGTTGAGAGACTTGAGTTTTGACTGTTTGGCTTTGATTTCCTATTGCTAATCTTACTCTAATCATGACTTTCAGTACCTTGCCAGTGCTGCCTTTGTTAGCACTCTTGTGAATATTTTTATGAAATGTAGCCTTGTGTTTATGAATTATTTAGTCACTTTAACCTATTTAAACTTTACTTTTTTTCTCCAACAAGTGCTAAAATATTTTATCCTGWAAAGACTACTCATTTAACTGCCTAGTGCATTACACTTGAGAAGAAAAAAGATAAAAAGCTTTTGTACACTTGCCAGTTTTTTTATTTTTTCTTTTGAGGTTAATTGCTTTAAATATTTCCATCATAATTAATGAAAAGTTAGTTRCAACATTTCTGGTAAAAGAATGCAGCTCTGAAACACGCTGAATTTGCACTTGAGCAGGTAATTTCACAGGTAATTCTTGTGCAAAGGAAACTGATGGATCAGTTTATTGCTTACACGAGCATGACAGAAATGACTTCATAAAGCCAAATCAAGTTTTCTTGTTCTGAAGTTTGCTAATGTTGCTGTGTGAATTTAACACATGGGGATGAGCTCCCYGGAGAGTCTGAAACATGAAACAAACTGAGACACTGACTTGTTATGGAATTGCTGTGTGTATAACATAGATGAAGTGTTTTGGTGTATTCAGGCCTGTTGGAATGCCAGCTTGCACAACTTGAAAGAATTCAAATGTACCCAAATAACTGCATTTAATGTTACAGGTTATTTTTGTATTTTTGTGTGTAAAATATTTGTAACTTGGGTTTGTGACTCCTCATTGTTTAAGCATATCCATGTAGATATGTAGATATATTTACAGTCTGAGAGAAGGAGAGGATAATTTGTGCCTTTTTAAACATAGTCTAAACTATACTCATCAATGTGCAGATACTCAGCTCTAATGGTAACTCGGTCCTTCAAGTTTAGAATCCTTCAATGTAGGTTTTGTTGAAAGTGTCTGAGATCAAAGTTACTCAGYAAATGAGAATTCAGCCTGACTTCATGAAATTCAGCAAAGTTTACAATTTCTATTGTATGTATGAATATTCCTGCTTTGCTGTCCAGGTATACTGTGAATGTGCTGGAGCTCTTCAGATGTCAAACATGTTTAAAAAAAAAACCAATTATCACTATTATTATTATTATTATTATTACTATTGGTCTTTTTGCAAGTCAGCCATAAAGAAGTCGCTTGAAAAATTCGGCTTCAATAATGAACAAATTTCTTTTACCTCTGAGTCCAGAATGCTCACTGATTTTGTGAGGAAGTTTACATGCAAAGTGAGGAAAGATTGGTTGCCTTAATTCTCTTTCTAGGTAAATATATTTTTTATTCTGCAGTTTTCTAGATTTTTATCAGTAAATATTATTTATACAGATACACAAATTAGATGGGGGGGAAATGTCACTCCTGTTTAACAGCTGGCTATCTGCAATGACCCCCAGAGTCCTGTCATGGTGAATTGTTTTCTCTAGAACGCAGTAATTTGCCCATCAAGACCAGAAATTTGAACAGGCTGCTCTGTAGTTTTTATTGTTGTTGAACAGCTGCCTCAATGAGTTTGTTTTACAGCAAAACAGACCTTTGGCCATGAACCTCTTGGTTGGGTTCCTGTGGAGGGGAGTACATGTCTAACCTATGCACTAATAAAATAAAATAAACTCACCTAAGCCAGGATCTCGTGTGTGTTTGTGTTCATGTGCTCTGTGGCTGCTGAATGTTCCCAGTAAAGGTGTGTGGTTTGTGCAGGGCCCAACATCAAACAGTGATTGTCTGGTGTCACAGCAAGGTGGTGTRTCTCCTGAAACTTTACCAAAAAACGGGCAGAGGTAATTATGAGGAAAATAGTGGGATTTATTAATTTTAGCCGTGCCCGTGGGGGAACTTCTTCAGAGAAATGTTGAAATAAAAAGCTCCAAGGTTTCATTTGAGTGAATGCTCTYTTCATAAAGAAATAATTTGTTACAGCCTCTGTAAATCTAACAGCAATGAGGATTTGGATTTGTAGTGAAGGAAAATGGCAGAATGTGGGGTTAATTGAGAAGGACAGTCCTCTRTGCTAAAAACCAGTCTTGGTTCTATCCACACTGCTCTCAACCCTCTTTAAATGGGTAAACAGAGCTGCAAGCAAGGGAGTCTGACTGCAGCACAAAGCAATCTGAGGGAAGAAATACATACATTAAAAAATCCAAACAAACTGCTTTTAACCATCTGAAAATCTGCAAAAAAAAACCATTTAAAACATTCTGGGTTTAAATCATTTCATACAAACGCACATTGCATTTCYAGTTCACACGCTCTGCTTTTGATTTTCCCTTTTGGCAATTTATTCAGAGYAGAGTTAGTGGGTAGAATCTCAGAGGAGAATAAAAGCCAGTGTTTTGAGAACTAATGAAGTAATTATCCAAAGCATTATTTACAATGATTATTTAGAAGATAATGAGACCCTTTAATTATGTTTGTTCTGCATAGCTAGCCGTTCAATAATTCAGGGTATTGCCATACAATTTTCTCYATGTTTACTTTGCACATTTTTTGTTTAGGAAAATGTCACATTTTGGTGCTGCCTGGGCCCTCTTCTGGGCATCGTTTGTCTCATGAAAATCACTGACTGCCTTCGGATGGAGTTTAGGTTGAGGCTTCTTCAATCAGATGGGGAACAAAAGAAATTCTGGGTGAAATGGAGCTGCACCTCATAAGGGCTGTTATGTAATTGTAGGAATATCTGAGTGTTCACATCCATGTGTTTGTCCACCGATGTTTCTGTCAGCATTTCTCTYACTGGAGGTGAAGCCTGACTTGCAGTTTATTTTCATTTTGGGAGTCGTGATAATTGTGCTTCAAATGTAAGGGTTTTTTTAACAGAGCTCATTTGTGTAGGGGAAATTCAGAGCATCGTTAACATTTTAGTAGCTAATGAAAATTTCACCACATCTGTGAACTTGCTGCTAAAATAAACAATTCTGCTTAAAGCACATCGTCAGCAAAGCTGAGCAGTGGCTGCTCCGGGGGAGAGGAATCTTCTGGCACGGGTGAGAGTGTCCCCAA